TACCAGTCAGGAATCACTTAGAATCTCCCCTTGTTGGCCGCAGCGCCTTGTTCTCATACTGATGGTTGGATGTGGTTAAAACAGTTCGTATTGCTGTTTTTAGGTCTTCTGTTGTTAGCACTCCTACTCTGTATTTTTCAAAGAAACTGATGTCATTTTCGTAAGTTGTTTATTATATAACTTAAGATATAAGCACTATATATAGATGTCATTAAAAGAATAAAATTTTGAAGCTGTCTTCAATTTAGAAAACACAGCCTCTATTTACGAGTAATTTGATTTATATAGCCTCATATCAATAGTCACTGCAGTTTCTGCTTTGGTGTATGCACCTAATAAGTTGCTTCCCACTGTCTGTTGTCAGAATAGAGCTCTGTTATATTCTCAGCTCTGCTGTGTGAATTGGATTTCGACTGGTTTGCGGCCTGGGAAGAGAAACTGCTCTGGAGTCTATTAGAAAAAATGGGCAGCTTTACAAATGGCATCTCTTGCTAGCCTCTCATTGTACTCGTTACATGCTGGTGTGTGTTTCTGCCTTCTCACAGTCTCAACTTTACATGCGTGTTTCAGTCTGGCTGGTGGGTGACGGCCCTGAGAACACTTCACTCGGTCCATTCCCAGGCAGCACCAGGTGTGAATCTCAGCAGATGCTGTAGGTTGAAAATTCATTGTTTTATATTTAAAACACAAGTAGTTCTTCAGTGTCCTATGCTTCAGATTAATTGTTGAGTGCATATATCTTCCAGTTCTATCTTGTTTTCACTCAGATTTGTGTAGGCTAAAATTTCATTTACTAGGAGATCAAAAATGAAATTCATTTTAATTCAAACCTTTTAAAAATAAATATTATCTTTTAGGATAAGAAAAGCCAAGAATCCAAAGCGTAGAGAGATGACTAGTGAAGGCAAACTGGACAAATATGATTGATTCATATTTAGGATTTCTATTTCAGTTTGAGGACTGAATGTGTTTAGCAAAATGTATGTGTTTATATATCACTGGTATGTACTCTGGAAAAAGTAGTATTTGGTAAGAGTGTTAAGTAGTCCACATACTTCTGTAATTAATGCCCTCAAACTGTTCAGCTGTTTCTCCTCCTTTCCCTCTCCTATAATAATATGCTCTGAGAGTTCAGTGATCTCGGAGGCCCTCATCTCATAATAATATGCTCTGAGAGTTCAGTGATCTCGGAGGCCCTCATCCCATAATAATATGCTCTGAGAGTTCAGTGATCTCGGAGGCCCTTTGAGCACTGTGGCTGCTGTGAGTGCAGCATTTATAAACTAATGGCTTCCAGATGTGATGACCATCAGGCACTCAGCAAACTGGATTAAGGTGCCAAATCATGTTTGAATAATGAACTAAAATGATAAACCATGGACTGAAACAGAGCAAATACGAATCAACGCTTATGGTGGAGATGGGAGGGTGCTTTCAACGGGAGGGATGTGATGGAGTATACTGAATATACATTGATCTCTGCTGTGTGCCCAGCAGTGTGCTAGGTGATATGGCTCTGAAAGACAGGTGGGCAACATGTGTTCCCTGTAGGCATGCTGAAACAGGTATTGTTATGATTGCAACAATTAATCAATTGCTCTTTTGGAGCTTTGGAGATGTGTTAGTGGATGAGGGCACCTAATTCAGAGTGTTTTCCAAAACGAAGAGGTGATATTTAAATTGCATCTTTAATGGTGACAGGGAGTTTCCAGGCAGAGGAAGCAAGGATATTGCAAAAAGCAGCAGAAGTAAAGAGGTGAGAGCAGTGGTTCTCAACCTGTGGGTCGCAACCC